CTAAAGAGAAGCATGAGATAAAAGTACGCATTGTGAATCCTTTTGTTGTTATAACTGGATCAAACGACAGATAAAGCGTAGAACAAACAATAATTGGGTATAGCGACTATAATATGATCGCGACGCGACATGGCGAATCAACCGCGATCGCGACGCGACAATAGTGAATCAATCGCAATCGCGACGCGACATAGCAAATCAAGCGCGATCGCGACGCGGCAATAGCGAATGAAGAGAATCAATCAATGATAATCGCGACTTCAAAGCGATCGCAAAAATCGCGACTTATTTCGCGAGAATCTTAACGATAGCGTAGCGAATTTTTAATCGCGCCGCGACTTCAGCGTGACAGTCGACCTGGGATGTATATCTTTTTCAGATTATATCTGAAAAAGATATACATGCGATTATCGTATTTTTCTTTAAAAGAAGTGTCAGGTTTTGAGGAAGTATGATGGAGTTCTGAGGAAGAAAGATAGAGTTTGGAACCGACCTCACTTTCAGCTAGCTTTTTTCTAGTCGAAACTAGGATCGCGGTTTGAACTAGTCATAGGTTTTAATCTATGCATATATTCATTTGACATGCTCAATAAGAATGATTAATAGGCTTTTCTTTAAAACTATTGCGATGATAGATCGTGCGTAAAACGTAGATTAGTCATTTTATAAATTCTAGTATCTTGTTATAAAACAGTTAAATCAATAGTAGGTTTTCATATACATTTAGTTTTCTTATTCGGTATCAGAGAACGAATACTTGCACTTTTGTACTTTTCGAAAACAAAGTATATCTGCCCAGGTCGACTGGTCACGCTAAATTTGGGGTACCAACGCGTTACACGATCACTATAATTCTCGCTAAAAAAGTCGCGATTTTTGCGATCGCTATGAAGTCGCTATCATTGATTGATTCTTTTCATCCGCTATTTTCGGGTCGCGATCCTGCAGAAATCGCGGTGGCATAACTCGATCATATTCGAGTCGCAGCAAGATCTTATTATAGTCGCTATACTCAGTTATTGTTTGTTCTTCGCTTTAATTGGCATTTGATCCAGTTATAACAACAAAATGATTCACAATGGATACTTTTATCTTACGCTTCGCTTTAGCTGTGAGAGAGGCTAATGTCTTATGATTCCAACGTGAGCCTTACCACTAAGGTAAAGTATGTAAAGAAAACATTCACGCTTAGACTTTCAGAGAATACGTATCCCTAGATACTAGACGTTAATATTCGGAAATAAGTACTACAGTTCTACATAAATTAGGCTACGATACACTCGAACTGAGAGTGCAAATTCCTTTCGTCCATTATTGACCTCTGCCCCTCTAGTGAATGAATGCGATCAAGAAAATAAAAAGTGCATCATGTAGTAGTTCTAGTTGTGAGTGGTCGTTATATATAGTGGTCAGTGGCCTGCACAGGATAGGAACATATGCATTTCGCAAGAGTTACACACCAATGCATTAGAAGGAGAAAGGATCGGACAGTGGACTAAATGAGAAGATTTAAGTGTCAAAACTACAAGAATATAAAATAAATTTTAGGGGAAAAGGTCCGGTTTGGAATCCTTTCAATTTGTCTTGAAAGTACATTTCGTCGCCCTTAACCTGTTTTCATGTAACTGTTTGTACCAAATACACACATCTTCAACCACGCACATGTCTGCCATATACCTTATGCACAGAATATGCACTGTCATTCTGTATATAACGCACACAGAACGTAGTTTCACTTTCAAATAGAAAAGGAAAATACAGGAAACGTCAATGTGATGCAGTACACAGTAACTTCGGTTCTCGGTGGAACACTTGTCATCCTCAGCCTCTGCTATCATCTTCTCCTTAGATCCAGATGTATCAAAAAGAAAATTGAGAGAAAAGATGTAACGAGACGAAAACTTTCATTCGAGGAGAGGAAACACCTTGCACTGCCTACGAGACTAAAAAGAACGCATCATCAGTATCAAAGAGGCCAGGAAAATATTTAATATATTCGAAGTTTCTTTGTATGTTCATTATCAGTATTAAAAATAACTATGCTTAAATAGAGTCTAACGTGTGTGCGACTTACCTTGGCAATTGCAAGAATCCCAAAATCCCATAGACATATAAAATAACTCAAACATCTATGCGAATTCTCCGAGTAATTGGAAGAATCCCAGAATCCCACCCACACCTTAAATAATTAGCGCATAGAATTTTTCAGTTCACTGCGAAGCGACCGTATGGACGTTCTTTAAATTCGCCGCGAATGCGAGCTATGCATACTATAGTGACACAGCAATCAAATTATTCTTTACCATTTATCGAAATGGATTCCGTCATAACTCGATGTTGTGCGACGATTTTGAAAAAAAACAAAGCATATCACCTATAGAATTGAAACCATTATTTGATGATATTGTTCTTGAATTGAAACCATTATTTGATGATATTGTTCTTGAATTGAATGACAACCCAGCTATAAATAATCGCTGCCAAATAGTTCATGCATTGAAAAGTGTACGCGGTTTAACAATGATTGGTCCGTTGATTGCAGACCATGAGCTTTATCATATTTTACGGAACACATTAAGTGATATATTGAATAAATGGCGGCATAAAAACAACAGCTTAAGTGACCAAAACGAATATTTATTCGCGCAAATTAGTGATCTATTTTTAAAAATGATCAATCACCTGAAACATACAAATGGATCACCATTATCGACATTTAAAACATGGTTATTGAATGAGATTTTTATGTAATCTATGGCATAATGCGCAGATGACATAGCTAGCGATGGTTCGAAATATGTTGATGATGACAGAAACATGGCAGCTTTGAGCCTGTTGATAAGTTCATTACAATGGTTCCAACCTGGTAATAAAGAAATAAGAAACAATGTATATTTGTTGTTATTAATTAATCCAATTACCAAATGTCTTTGTTCACAATATTATGTGAATATATTCAAACAACTTAAAATAGAATCTGATAAAAGACGTTCAGTTGAAGAATTCTTATTCGGAACATGCCCATGCTACTCTGCATGGCATAGAGGTAAATCTCAAGAATTCATGATGCATAAATTATGTGAATATAATATGTTAAATCAGTATGAAGACGTATATGACCCTTTCACATCGTCTATTGACAGATGGAAATTTTCTATAATTTCTTAGTTGAAAAGTGGGGGGCACATTTTTCAGACCTTGTAGTAACGCTTTCCAATGACCATCTTGAACAATGAATGCTGTTTTTTCCTTATCATCTTGGGTAGGCATTTGGAAATAACTAAATTTAAGATCTAATTTGAAGAAATATCGGTGACCACCTAAGCGATTAATTGTTTCCCCTATATGTGGTAATGGATAAAAATCTTTTTTGGTGATGTTATAAGTTTCCTGTAAGCGACACAAACCTGGTTGATCCGTCTTTCTTCTTGATCAGGACAACTGGAGACGCCCATGGTGAGATTGAACGTCTAATGAGATAATTCTTTTTCATCTGCTGAATGTGTTCTGCTAATATTTGTTGTTGTTGAATAGTTCTTGAATATGGCTTGGAAACTACCCCCAAACCATACAAAGTACGTGTAAGCCCAACTCAGGGCTGGGCAACTCCAACTCCGGAATTGAGGATTCTTTTGGTGGAGTTGGAGTTGAGATTTTAGTAGGTTGGAGTTGGGTTTTTGAATATTTATTGTCAATTCCATTTTGCATTTTTGGAAATATTCAATAGTTGTAAACTGATCTTCTAAACGATTGAGTAGCTGTATTCACGAGTGAATTCGGATGTTCTTTGCGCTGTCCTGCCGGGAAAAGCTCAAAAACGTCCAGAATCCTGCTAAAAATCGAAAAATCTTCCGTACAAAAGTGAAGCAACCGTCGGCTATTCGATGATCAACGAAACACAAGCCGGACGTTTTGATTATCGGCATTTTAATGATCAACGAAATCAAAAACCAAGACAAACCCAGCCGCATTTTTTTTGGTTATCGCGGTGCTTATCTGAAACTTCATTATACAACATAATTGCGCTGTTTGGTTTTATCACGTTTAGATACTTAGACTTCTCGCTACAACTTGGTTGTCGTCAGAGTTATTCGCTACTTAAGCTACCACGAGCGCTTTGGACCTTGCTTAAGGGTCTCATCAGGTGGATGTTACGGTGCCATTCGAAATGATACTCTTCGAAACTGGACTAGATCTTTCATACTTTTCATCCGCTTTCACACTTTTCATTCGGGTCATTTCGCTTTCTTACGTTTCAAACTATCCTACTTTTCATAGCTTACATACTTTTCATCCGGGTCATTCGCTTTCATATTTTTCAAACTATCCTACTTTTCAAAGCGTTCACACTTTTCATCCGGATCATCCGCCTTCACGCCTTTCATCCGGGTCATCCGACTTCACACTTTTCATCCGGGTCATTCGCTTTCATAGTTTTCAAACTATCCTACTTTTCAAAGCGTTCACACTTTTCATCCGGATCATCCGCCTTCACGCCTTTCATCCGGGTCATCCGACTTCACACTTTTCATCCGGGTCATTCGCTTTCATAGTTTTCAAACTATCCTACTTTTCAAAGCGTTCACACTTTTCATCCGGATCATCCGCCTTCACGCCTTTCATCCGG